TGTGTGTATATATATATATTTTTTTTTCTTTTTTTTTTGTACCCAGGCTGGAACTCAGGACCTTGTGCTTGCAAGGCAGGTGGCAGAACCACTGAGCTAATTCCCTGGCCCGCTTCTAGATTCAGTGAGGTAGCTGGATCCAAAGTCAACACTCAAAAATCAATGTCCTTCTTGTACATGAAAAAATTTACTGAGGGCTGAGGATTTAGCTCAGTGGTTCTGCCGCCTGCCTCTCAAGAACAAGGACCTGAGTTTGAAACTTGGTACCAAAAAAGAAAAGAAAAAACTCACTGAGAGAGCAATCAGGGAAATAACACCTTTCAAAATAGCATCCAAAAAAATTTAAATACCTAGGAATCAATCTACTGGAGGAAGTAAAGACATTGAAAACCATAGTACTCTGAAAAAAGGGTTTGAAGAAGATATCAAAAAATAGAAAGATATTCCTTGTTCTTAGGTAAGAGCCAGTATAGTGAATATGGCCATACTTCCAAAATTGTTATACAGATTTAATGCAATCCCAATCCAAATACTGATTGCGTACCTCACAGAATTTTAAAAAAACAATTCTAAAATTCATTTAGAATCAGAAGAGACCTAGAATAGCAAAAACAATTATGAGCAACAAAGGCAAACCCTAGCCCTAACCCTAACCCTAAGTACTGAGGCCCAGGAGAGGTCAGCTGCCCCTCCCTTTCCTCTCCTTTTCCAACAAAGTCCCAGGGACTGCCCAGTTCACCCTTCACCAGTGGATGGCCAGCTCTTATACTCAGGCTGTAGATGCCATGAGAGTCGGCTTCCCCTCCAGTGGCAGCTTTCCTGGGAAGCCTCCTCTGGAAGTGATTAAGGACAGAAGAGGGACTGAGGCTCAGAAGAGTCAATTGTCTCGAGGTGATCAGAGCCAGGCAAAAGCGGGGTTCTCCAGCTGTACTACCAGGGCTTTTGATCAGGGCTCCTTCTTCCAAATGCCACACACACACCACATAATACATATACATACGTGCACCAAACACACACACACACAAGTACAGTGAGCAGCCTGGGCTGGGCACAGGTGGACCGGTTGCTCTGCACAGGTGAGGAACACCTGCATACACCTTGGTGATATAGGGGAAACAGGCACCCTGGTCTATCTCTGCAGTGTCCCATGCCTTGCCCTGGTCAAATTCTACTCTAAGTGTAGACAGAGAACTTGTCTTCCATGGCCTGCAGTTTGCTGTCTTCCTTCGGTGACTGCTGCCTACCTAGCATCCCACCAGCTTGGAGAGGAGGAGCAGAGGCCCACTCAGCCCTTCTGAGGTCCTTCAGTAATCTGTGCAGCCCCTCCCAAGGTGCATGGGGACACTGGGTGTGGGGAAAATCCTATTATCTGTGAGGCTGGGAACCAAGACCTCCCTTGGCAAGAACTGCGGACTTGCATGACAAAGTGCCTACTAGGTGCCTCCCAAGGCAGCAGGTGTTCAAGTTGGCTGTGCCACCTGCCCTTTCTGCAGCTTTCCACCCTGCTGTACACTTCAGAAGTTGATCCTCTATCCTCTGGCTTTCAGGACCTTGGCCACTAGATAATCTGAGTCTGGGGATTGGGAGGGGCAGAAGACCAAGTTTTTATCCTCTCACCATCCCGCTGCAGGCTGGCAGCAACCACCTTCCTCTTCCAAGGGCTGCCCCTACACCCCTCTGTGCCAAGTGGGTAAGGGTAGTACTTGCCCACAGCTGTATAAGTAGTTGAATTATCTTCCAGCTAAATTATTTCTGGTAAATGTCATCAGCTTGTTGCCAGGAGCTGGACAGATGTAGCACTTAAATATTTCATTAAATCCTACCAGGCACCAGCTTGGGAAACCTGCCAAGGACATAGGGTGGCTCCCGCTACATGCCAGAATGCTCTGCTCTTCTCCCCAGAGGCTCAACCAGGCAAGAGAAGAGAAACTAGAGCCCAAGTCTCCTGTCTCCCAAAGCAGGCTTCCTGTCAGTCCACTCCCTGGTCCTGGAGCTGGACATCTGGGGAAAACTCAAGTCTGGGGTGGGGGTGGGGTCCTGAGATGGGCTTGAATCCTCTTCCTGGTGGCAACAGAAGGTTCAGTGACATTGATCTTCATTGCATAGGCCCAAGGGGTGAGCCAGGGTGTGAGGTCCCCAGGCAGCATGCACTCAGCTCCTGGCTTTTCCCAGGCACTAGCCACAGAGCAGCAGGGACTAGGGTGACCTGTTGCCCCCTTTGCCAGTTCTAAAGGTGTCAAAGCCTCCTGCAGCCACTAATCTGGGTAACTTTACTGTTTGCCCTTTCAACACCTGTGTAACCAGGTGAAGCTCCCTCTCTGCTAGGACACCTAGCAGTTTGTTTCCCCGACTGGCCACTTGCTGTTACCTGGATTGTCTTTTCATGTAGCCCAAATGACCAGAATTCATGTTAGAGCCCAGCCTGAGTACTTCAGCCTCCCACGGTGATTTTCTAGAGTTCCAGACACAGGCACTGCCCTAGTTTGTGTGTGTGGCACTAGGGACTGAACCCAGAGCCTTCACTCTGAACTACATCCCTAGACCTTTTCCTCTTATTATTTATTTTTGGTACCAGCGATCGAACTCGGGTCCTTGCTCTTTCGAGGCAGGCGGCGGAACCACTGAGCTAAATCCTTGGCCCGCCCTCTTCTTGTTTTTAAGTTTCAGATATGGTCTAAGTTACCAAGTTGCCCGAGATGAATGCACACTTGCTACCTTTCTGCCTCAGTCTCCAAGTGCCGAGATTACAGGAGTACCCTATAGGTAAGTTCCACAAGATGGCCAGAAGATGGCAGTACCCCACCGCATCCACTCTTCCAATTTACCTGAGGCCTGGACACCCGCAGTGGACTCAGGGATCTGAGCTCCACACTCCTAACCACGTAGGTTCTTTATAGGGTACAGACAGCCCACAGATCAGTTTCTGGTACATGTTATCTGCCAGATAATCCTTGTAACAAGGACCTCAACTTTACAATCAAGAAATTCCCTTTCAAATATCATGGCAACACCCTTATCTCCAGTTTTTGGTAAACTTGGAATTGGATTAACCTTTTAGGAGATTATCCTTTTAAGGAGAGATCCATGAATCATCGCCAGTCAGCTGTCCCAGGCAGTTTGGGGGTGTTTGTTACTCAATGTGTTAACCCCCAGGAGCCTGGTGGGTAAAGCATAAACAGCAATAGGTACCGGTGCCCAACAGAGAAGCCTGGGCAGACACAGCACAGGTGAGGAGGCCATCTGTTGGCACTGCCAGCGAGATCCGGGGTCCTTCTGCCCGTCCCAAGCTTCCAAGTGCTTTCCAAGATGATTCCAACATTTATTATCACAAATTCAGCTGTTATATTGACCAGCACATAATTTTTTCAACATCAAAAAGTTAATAAAAAATATTCCTGGATCTTCTAACCATTTGGACAATTACTCCAATATTTAAATTAGTGAAAGCTATTTTAAGAAACCAAGTCATTCCATAAACTCCTCAAGGAGCCACAGGTGATGGGAAACATCAGCCCTATATGCTAACAGGTTTGTGCCTTGGCAATGTTGGTGAGAAAAATGAAAATTCTGGTCAAACTGAATCACAAATTTCTAAAGTGAAATTGTGGCCTAAACCCAAGTGAACAACCACAAAGTCCTGTCAGTTCTGGCATCTCCACTCAACTAAGTGAAGTTTCCTATCTTTCTGTGGTGGTTTTTTTATTTTTCCTTTACATGTTGTTTTATTTTTTGTTGTTTTGAGACATAATCTCACTATGTAGTCCAGGCTGGCCTCAAAGTTGCAAGGATCCTTTTGCCTCAGCCTCGCAAGGGCTGGGATTACAGGCATGCGCCACCATGCCCAGCTCCTTTACATCTTTTATCACAATGTTCTGTGAGGGGAAAGAGGACAGCGTGTGATTTAGACTATGTTCAGCACTTGTGCTCCCATTTGCACAGGCTCAGGCATGCACAACTTGACCTTCTTCTCCAGGGAGCCCTCAATTCCAGAGCCTGGCCCAGCAGCACAGCTGTCACAGTCCCTATGGCGTCAACCAAGGCTGTCTCCCTCTGTACCTGCTGAAGTCCACCCTCAGCTAATTCCCCATCGGCCCTGCTCCCTGAGACTGCAAACTCCACAGTTTGCCAGAGCCACCAGTGGAAATTCATTACCATTTCAAGGGACTATGAAAACCTAGCTGGGGGGGCGGGGATTTAGCTCGGTGGTGCTGCTGCTATTTTTTTGGTACTATTCCCAGTACCAAAAAAAAAAAAAAAACCAACAAAAAAACAAAAAAACACAAAACCTAGCTGGGCCCGCTGTAGTGGTACACGCCTGTAATCCTAGCTACTCTGAAGGCCAAAACAGGAGGATCACAAGTTTGAAGCCAGTCTGGGCAACTTTGAAGACCTTGTCTCAGGGAGAAAAACACAAAACAATTTAAAAGGCTGGTGATGTAGCTCCATGGTGAAGCATTTGCCTAGTGTGTGAGTCCTGGGTTCAATCCTCAGTACCAAAAAGAAAAACACGTACCGGGGGCACTCATTCAAACAACTAAAGTTCACATGCTCCCAAATGACATCACCTGTCTGTAGTCCCTACATCTGGCAGAAATGGAGAAAGGTCATTAGAGCCAGCACAAAAGAGCAGCTGCGACTCCTCTTAACATGGATGAACAAAACCAACTACATGACTCCTGCTATCTTAGGGACAAAGACTTTGCAGATTGCTTTAGGGCCATGAAGAGGAAGGAAAGGACTCTTCCTGAAAGTGTATCACCCTCTATCTTTTCAAACACTCAAGGGGAGGCTAAGGCTCTGGACAGAGGACAAGGGAGGTGGGGTGGGGGCCTCTGGGTAATGGGGAGTAAAGTAAGCAAACCGCCACAGGGGTCAGCCTCCTCGGGATCTTTGTCCGAAGGGCCCTCATCTTGCCTGTTTGGTGAGGGTCTGGCCTGCTGATGCCATGGGTAGTCTCGGCCAAAGAGCATCAGTCCCCACCCTTACTCACCCAACAGCAGTGTGAGATGCCACTAAGGCTCAAAACTCACCTCCATCTACAAATAGGGAAAAACACACAAGGTGCCTTTATGCAGGCAGGCAGTTGGGTTGAACCCTTGCCCTAAGATGCCTTGACTTGGAAGTCATGAAACCAGGGGTCCAGAAACAGGGACACTGAAAAAACTCATGTGTTTGGAGTTTCCTGCCATGGTGCCATCCTGCTCCAGCTCCTTTCAAAACAAATGGAGTATGAGTGAAGATAGTAAAAACCTCAAACTGCGGACAGGCAGGCCCCTGACAGACAGTGGACCCTTCCACTGTGTCAGGCCTCCCCCAGCCCCATCCTGGATGGGGTTCTCACTTCCTTCCCTCGACATGCCCTGGAGACAGAGAGAGCCAGCTAGACCTGCAGTGGGGGACACTCATGAGGGCCAGACCCCTGCACATGTGAAGTCAGCCTCCCCCAGGTGCCTGCTGAGCACAGCTGCCTCCCACATACTAGGGGAGGGCCGGGTGGCTCATACATCAGACTCCACGCAGTGTGTTATCCTTTAATGAAAGCTGGGTGAGCAGGCCACCCTCTCCCCAAGGGCCCCTGCAGCTCATGCCCCTCACACAGGGTACCTAGTGCTGCCTAGGAGGCTGGGTGGCCTTAGGCAGCCAGCCCACCTGAGAAGTCAGTGTGCAGTGACCTAGAAATGGCATTTATCTCTCAGACCTTGCAAGTGGCAGCAGCAACAGGACAGAGAAAGCTGGACCAAGTTCAAGGAGGATGAAAGAGGAAGACAGGAAGTAGAAATGTTTTCCTTCCTCTCTGAATCCTGATGGGACAAAGGCCAGTGTTCACAAATAGTACAATCTCCTCAGGGGCCTGGAGGCCCTTCCAGCCACTCTCTGGAAACCCTTAATCCCCAACTCCCTGCAGGCTGGTGTCACACAGGAAGTAGCTCACAGGGTCACTGGGCTCAGACCTGGCCAGGCACTGCCCTACGTGCCTCAAGACCCCAGGCCTGTAGGATGGTCCAACACCACTCAGGCCAGGGCTACAAGGAGACTGGGAACCACCTTTCTCTAACTCTCCTTGTCAGTCACTACAGGCATCTAAGATGGTGGTCTCTCCTTCAAGGTTCCAAGGCTGCCTCAACAGGACGAAGGCAACAGTAGACCAGGGCTCCCAGGTCCCTACAGATCCGTGACCTTGTTTTCCACAGCAGCCGCGATCTGCTGAAGCCGATAGCCTAGTTGCATCTTCTGGGCTGTGCCATCCTCCTCCAGGGCAGTGATGATCTGAAATGCAGACACCAACACCATCAGAGGAGACCGCCTTGACCCACGCAGTCACTGCAGACTTCACCAAGCTCCTGAGATGCTGGAACACAACCTGGGGTATAAGCCTCACTGATTTCCTAAGAAGGCAACTTGAGGTTTGCAGGATTAGTGAGCTAGGGAGTAACATGCAGTACCTGGCACTGGTGGCAACAACTGAATACCCACCTCACCAGGAAAGCCATTCCAAGTGGAACCAGTGCTGCAGAGCCCTGCTACAGGCCTCCCAGCCACTGCCTGCCAGCCAGGAGCACTTCCTCATTCCCTGCGTGCCCAGTACAGCAAGGAGCAGGGACCCAACATAACCAGACAGATATGGTACGGAACACAGCTTCTGAGCCACACAAACAACTACAAAACCACAAATGAGAGCTGACTCAGGCATCAGTGGAGACTGGAAGGGCAGCAGCTCCTACCCGTCTCTGCAAGGCATTGTGATTGAGTCACAGCCCTGCCTGCCCTGTGATGTGGCCACACCATGCCAAGCAAGGCCGCACAGCCCAGACCTCACACTCACAGATCCACAAAGTGTTAAAGTGCCACCCAGTAGGAAACAGCCACGTCACCAGTGCTACGCAAGCACAAATGGACAATTCCATCAGGTACTCACAGTCCAGGGGTCCCTCAGAAAGCCCCCTCACCCACCATTATGGGCCTGGACCTGTTCCTCCCATTCCTCCCATGGTTCACATGCCCAACATACCTCCAACCTTAGAACCTGGTGGAGACTGCGTAAGGGCATGGTCATGGCAGAGGTGGCAGTGGTACAGTCCTCCAGCACATCCCAACAACCATCTCCAGGTCCCAGTAGCCTGCCCCCAACCCAAGCACTACCGCCACATTGGGAGTCTCGCTGAGGGACTGGGTGGAGGGGACAGGGAAGAATGGAGCCAACACCAGAAAACACACCAAAGACACCTCCCAAACGGCCAAGGGCCCCAGCCTCTTTCCTCCTCAGTGCCGGGGGGAAATGCAAAGGCTCCCCCAACTCATATCTGTCCCGATCCTTCCAGCAGGTCCCTTGAGGTAAGCCCCCTAATCAGGACCCGGGGTCTGCCCACCTGGTCGTAGTATTTGTTGATATACTTGTAGAGTTCATGCAGCGCCACTCGTGCCCCAAGGTCGCCAGAATAGTTCTAGGGAGGAGGGCAGATAAGAGATGAGGGGTGGAACCAGCCACAGGGACCCAGGACATCAGGGAAAATCAGAAAGGAGAGGTGTCTCCTTAGTGGGAGGAGACCCCAGGTCTACTTTCAACAGGACCTGGGTCTGCACTGGGATCCTGCCATCCTTTCCCCATCAGACTCTAGCATGGCCCCCCTACCATCCCAGGTGACCAGAGTCAAGTAGGACAGATGCCACTTGCAGGGTGTGGGCCCAGGGTAATTCTGCCATGATCTCATTCGACTCTTTCCTTCTATGGGGACATCTTTGAAGCTCAGCTCCTCCTGTGGATAATGGAGTCGGTACCACTTAACTTGTGCAGCTCATAGGAGGACCAGATGAAACACAGTACCCCATAAAGGACCAGACACACAGTAGGACCAAAAAGCACAGCTTCTGTTAGCACTGAGGTCGTGCTTGTTGTCATCATTGTTTCAGAAATGCCCTTCATGAATTCCTGAATTTAACACTGGGGGCTGTCTTAGGAGTAGGTGGAGACACGTTACCCAGTGAGGTAACCGAGCATGGGAAGGCATGGGTAAGCAGAAGCCAGCAGGCCCGGAGCCCAACCATAGCCACTCCACAAACCCAGTGAGGGCTGAGGCACTAAGGCACCTGGCTGAGTCACACTTGTGGGCAGCTGCCAAGACAAGGCCCCTCCCTGCTCTATGATGAGATGTTGGGAGCCCTAGCCTTTTATAGCAGTGGGTGGAAAGAACACTGCGTGAATGATGGCGTGTGTCATACCCCAACCAGCTCACGGGGCTGCTAAGGTCCCAAAGGCTTCCCTACAAAGGAGCCCCCTGAGCTGGTTGGGGCAGCAGTATAAAGGAGGTAGGACCATTAGGGCAGACAGCTTGGGCTCCACCCCAAAGCCTTACCCGGGAAAGCTCGGCCAGGGCAGAGTTCATCTCTTGATCACTGGCTGGGACGGTCTGTCTAATGTCTGCATAGTACCTGCCAGAAAATACAGGACAGCAGCTGCTGGGTAAACAAACCCACACTCCCTCACCCTCATCAGGGCCCACCTAGGGCCTCAGCTGCCTGAACACCTCAACCTCCACCCAACCGCCCCTCAAGTTCCGCTGTCTTCCCCAGTACCTTTCCACCATCCCTTTGTAACGGGGAATATCCCGGGCATACAGAAGCTTGTTGATGGGGGAGTCCTGGGCACACGTAGGAGGGCAATGCAAGAGGAAAGAAACAGATGAGATCCCATTAGAGAGATCAGCTCCCCAGGTCTCCAAGACTTGTTCAGTTTTATTTTATGTTGATTAGTACATGTTTACAATGCACAGTGTTTACATTCCTTGTGAGGAAGTGGTGTCTGTACATAGCACATCTTAACTCCGTTTTCATCCCCTTTCCCTCCCCCGCTTCCCTGACATCTCTTGATCCTCACCCCCTTTGAGAAAGATCTATCTACCTGCTTCCTATTATCTAACTTTTTTCTCTTTATTTATACTTTGGGTGCCTGAGTTACTTCACTCAACATTATGGTGTCAAGATGCACCCATTTTCCTACAAATGACTCGTTTATCCTTCTTTATGGCAAAGTGCTTCAGTTTCAAAGCAGAAGGTTCCACATCCCAGGAATCCTTCAGACCCAACTAACAGGTATGGCTGGTCAGCCCAAACCACTTCCTTCTGCAGGAACTTTCTCCACTCCCCCCCGCCACAAATGCCCCGTCTCTGGTGCTCAGCTCAGGCTCCTCCCTTGTTATGTGCTCAGATCCACCTCCAACCAGAGCAGGGAGGGCATGACTCACATAGTAGATGTCTAGTGTTCACTCTCCATATAAGCATTTTAAAACTCAGTAAGCTGTGGCCCAGAAAATCATGTAAGTTGCCCTAGACCACCTCACTTCAATGGCTAAGCTAGGACTTTAAGGAGGTCTCTCAAGTCAGAGCCCAAAATTTTAGCATAACCAGCCTCTACACACTAGATTCAAGTCCCAGCAGCTGCAGGTTTTAGGAAGCACGCTCTTATTCTTAGGACTTCTGCCTCAATGCTGAAGCCATGGGGTAGGCAGAGAGTGTGAGGTGGTGCTACCCCAGCAGGAACAGGGACACAGGTCCAGGTCACCTCCCAGCCTGAGTTGAGAGGTGCGTGCTTTCTCTCCAACCTCCACAGGGGACCCTTGACATTCCTGGTTTGGACTATCCCTGAGCTACCCAAGAACCACTTGCTGTTCTAACAGGAAAGGGAAACAGTACAAAGCCCTGGCAAAAACCCAGCCACTACATAGCATGCACTCCTGGAGGCAGCCCCACGGGTCCTGGGGTGGCCCTGTGATTGTCAGCTCTTTATAGGCAGAATGATTAAACAAAATTGACTCCAGAAAGAAAGCGCTGTGGAGTGAAACTTTCCATTTTTCTTCTTCATAGAGGTCTGGAAGTATGTGGCCCAGGGTTCTGATCTAAGCAGAGCCCCTCTGATAGATCCAAGGAGCCACAAGCGCCCTGCCTGCTGGGTGAGTGAGACACACCGGGAGCCCAGATGCCATGGACTCTGGGCTATTTCAATCATAACCATCCACTCCCGGCCTCAGTGCTGCCGCACCACTCAGAACACACCTCTGTGCTTCCCTCAAACTTGGCTCTTCCCAATATGTGCCTCCCTGCCACTCCACTGGGAGAAAGACACACCCGAGCCTAAGGAACCAAGTCTGCCAGGCAGCCTGAGTCTGCTTTGAGCTTGGAGAATCCATGTGTCCACTGGAACCCACCAGGTAGGTAGCCCCACAAATATCACAGGCTCACCCCCTCTGTATCTGAGTTCACCACAACCAAAGACCCCAGGATCACATGATTTCCTTCTTCTGCATCCAGTCCACAGCGTCTGCCTGCCCTGTGCCCTCTTGTGGGCTTGCACTTGACCCCTGCTTGTCAAGAGGCTAGCACAGGCTCCGTCCAGACTACTCTCAGGGTGACCCTCACCCAGTGGCCCTGGCTTGCTACCACGGGCTGCCAGCAGGCTACCTACTCAGCCGTACCAGGCTACACCTGCTGCCCACATCCCAACCCTGGCACAGGGCACCCCCTGCTCTAGCTCTTCCCTTAAGACTGACACTGCCAACTTCTAGAGAGCCTCTACACAACACCTGGCCTGGAGACGCCTGGGGTCAAATGCCTCCTATAACGAAGCCTCTGTCCTGCCCAAGCTTCCTCCTTGAAACTCAGAAGAGCCTAGAGTCTGCACACACTGCACTGTCCATCCCCAGCCCAGGCCGTCCTCCTCCCACCCTCCGCGCTGTGTCCAGCCCGGCCGCTCACCCGGCCCAGCTTGTGATCAGCCAGGGTGCAGGCATCCATGAAAGTCTGTGCGATGACAAGGAGCACTGCATCCATGTTATCAGACGTCTGCACGTCGAACACAAACTGTGGGTTTTTTATGATATTGATCCAGAACCTCAGAGGTAGGCTGTGGGAAGGGTGGACATGGCTGAGGAGCCTGCTGGAGAGGGAGGAGGGGAAGACCCAACACATGTGTGCTCCGAGCCCCACCCCCAGCCCCAGCCCACCTGTTGGTTTTCCAGATGTGGATGGTGTCTTGGTCCGAGATGCCGTGCTGCTGGGCCTGCTCATCCAGCAGGTCAAAGAAGTACTTCACAGCCAGAGGCACAGGGCGGCTGGTGCTGAGAATCACCTGGAACAGGTCATCCACGAACTTCTGCAGGGTTCCCTGCAGAAAGTGGGGAACAGAGATGCACAGTGAGCAAGGGCACCCCAGCACCAGCCTGGCCTCAGCAAGCCCCACACCACACCCGGGCCCCACAAGTGGCCACTTGCCCACCCCCAGACCCCACTCCCATCTTGCTCCCATCAGCCCCAGCCAGTCCCTCACCCTACCTTCATGGACAGCAGGCGAGTCAGGTAGATCTCGGGGATGGCCTTGGCTCGCTCCCGCTCCCCACCCCGAAGGCTGCCCCTCCGAGGCCGGGGTGGCTCTGGCTCCTCACTCGGCTTTACCAGGTGCCAGGGCCGGATGCCTCCCTCATCTACATCTTCCAGCATTGGAGTCCCTGTGCCAAGACCCCACAGCTCATTGCCCCACACCAGATGCCACTCCTCTGGACCCCTTGGGTCATGCCAACTCTCCCAGGAACAGGGGCACATGGTTGAGGCATCTCTGGGTAGAAAGGAAATAGGCACAAGGTCCAAAGGACCTCCCCACATTACCCAGGACCGGGCAAACAAGAGTAGAACACTGCAGTGGAGACTGGGGGAGTACTCACGTTCTCCAGGGACGTAATCCTGGTTTTCCCTGAGAACGTGCTTGGTGAGGCAGGGGACAAGGGCCACAGTAGCTCCATCTGGGACCTGCTGACCACAGCTGGTGATCCCTCCACCAGCTCTACCCCATCATCCCTCCTCCAACTCCCACCTTCCCACCTTGTAATGTTGCAGAGTGTTCAGGCGCCTCCACAGACCCTGGACCTCAGAAGTGACATCCTCATCAGAAAGGATGAGGTGACCTGCTACCCCAGACCGCCATTCTGCAAGGATAAAGGGGCTTGGCCCAGGGACACAGCCCCTCCTTCGGGGTCAGCCCCACCCAATCCCTCCAGTCTAGGGGAGCAGCTGTCTGATAGAAGGGTTCCAGAGCCAGCCTCTGTCCCAACTCTCAACAGCCCACCCATCCCGCAGGACAAGCCAGCCCAGGCTCAACACCACCTCAGGTCCCCAGGCTCCAGGTCCTCACCAACATCTAGGGTGTGAGAGTCTGGACGCTGGGCAAGAGGCACTCCTTTATAAAGCTGGTCCAGCATTTTCTCCTTGGCCTGGGAGATGGTGTCACAGTCTAGGACCTTCACTGGCACACCCTGGGACTCTCCAGCCCCAGGCCCCACAGCCAACAGCACATTCAAGGTCTACACAGGACACAGGAAAGTGGTCAGGTACCAAGTCACACGCAAGATGACCAAAACACAAGGCCAAGGGCAGGGACAACCCATGAGAAAGCGTCTGACCACCCAAGAACCCTGCGATCCTAATTCTGTCTTTCCACCTGCCTGCCTCCCCCCGGGACAGCAGCCTCCTCCAGTGGCCCCAACACCCAGCACAGTGGAGAGCGAACGGTGGAGCACCTGAATAAGTGCACGCCTTTCTTTACTCAGGTGAAACCAGCAGGCATAAGGCCCTGGACTCCATCCCCAACACCGCCAAAAATAAACAAATCCAAGCCTCTCTCTAACGGGCAGGCAGAGGCCAGGCTGATTTTATCTAGACACAGACCGTGGAAGCTGGGACCCCAACAGGAGACTGACCCAGCAGACCACACACAGGCACACCCTCACCAGAGGTCGGTATTCCACATCCTCTCTGAGCAAGCGGTTATCATTGAGGGTATATTTGGCTTTGCCAGTCACGCTGTCTACTGGCCCCTTGTCCACTTGATGCTTAATTCCTCGGAAGAGCATGTACAGAGGCTCCCCTACTGAGTCCTGGGGGAAGGGGTGCAGGCAGTTAAGGCTCCCGCAAATGCCAGAGGTGTATGGGATGTGATACGTGCTGGGGAAGGGTATAAGATGCAGGCTGAAAATGACCAAGGACATGCCAGGCAGGGCCTCTGCTCCAGACTGAATGTGCAAGTGCCAGGGGCCTGACCCACCCAGGACAGGAGCTCTGTTGGGCTCTGCCTCGCCTACCCTCAAGAAGGTATAGAGGCAGATGGACATCCAGTTGGTGAGCAGCTTCTCTACCACAGTCTCTGTTCTAGGACGACAGGAGAGGGGCAGGCCAGCGTCAGTACGGGGGCTGTGGGACTCTCTATGGGGCAGACCTCAGACCCAAGGCCCCACCTTAGCTCCTGGGTCTAGCTGTCCACTCTCCACACAGCCCCAACAGCCATACAGACCTGCGCAGCATCAGCTTGGGGTTCTTGGCCACATACTGGGCTACCAGGTCACTGAGCAGAGTGCGGAGAATGTCGGTGAAGTACTCAAGCTTCCCATGTAGGGCGACAGTGAGCAGAGATGCCACGTAGGCACGGTCACGAGCTGAGAAGGTACGCTGACTCTCCAGCGTGTGTATGAACTGGGCCAGAAGAGACCATGAGAGACTGGGCTCAGAAACAGCAGGATAGTCGGGCATGGTGACACACGCCTGTAATCCCCACCCAGGAGGCTGAGGCAGGAGGACTGCCAAGAGTTTGAGGGCAGCCTGGGCTACATAGTGAGTCCAGGGCTAGCCTGAACTACAAAGGGAGACCCTGCCTCAAAAAAACTGAAAAGAAAACAGCAAGACAGAGAAGGACTGGGCCAAGAAAGTGGGTGGTCCTGCTGAGGGTTGGAGTAGCACCTTGGTGAGGAAGAGCTTGCTATTGAGCAGATTGGACAGCTGTCCCAGGCCTTGCTCCACAGTGGGTCGCCTGCTTTCAGGCACACCAAGGTCCCGATGCAAGGGTGACTCCTGGTGGCCGGGGAAGAAGACCCTCTCAGCATACACCTTGTAGTCAAGGAAGGGGATGCCACTGCCCAGAAGGTCACTGGTGAGATCCGTCATCTCGGTCATGAGGTCTGTCGGGCAGAAAAGGCCAGCTTCAGTGCCAGTTCCACATTTCAGGAGCAACTTTGGACGGAGCCCCGAAAAGCGGGAGCCTCACCTGTGAATTCTTTCTTGCAGCGGTCTCTCACACTGCTCTCCAGATTCTCCAACTGGATCTGTACCTTCTTATAGTCCCTCAGGGCCTGCTTGCTCTTCCTCCTGCTCGGTACCAAGGGTGGGAAGGAAAGACCAAAGGAGGCCAAAGCCCTTGCTGGATCCCACTCGGCCCAGACCTGCCTAACTGTGACCTACGTATGACCTGACCTTGTCCAGCATACCCTAACCTGGTAAAGTCCAGCCAAGACAAGGCCTGCACCCGGAACAATTCAGCCTGACCCATCCCAAAATGCCACACCACCTATCCCCATCTACCCAGCACAAATGCACCCAGGAACCCACAAACTATAACCAGCCCAAACCTGGCCTGTGACCCATTTCTATAAGCAAAGATTTGCTACAACACAGCCATGCTCACGTGTTTACATACTGTCCATGGCTGTTTTTGTAGGTAATAGCAGAACTGAGGGGTTTTGAGAGAGACCACTCTGCCCGCAAAGCCCTGCAAAGCCCTACTCTCTAGCCTTTAGAGAAAATGTTTGGCCGAGCCCAGATCAAATCTGCTCCTTCCCAGCCAACCCCATTCTGCCCAGCCCCGCCACATGTGCTGCACCCACCTGTACATGAGGACAATGATGATGACACCCAGAGCCAGAAGAGAGGTGCCCACCCCCAAGCCCACCTGGGCTGCCACAGGAAAGGCCACAGGGCTCTCGCCGTCATACTGTACGTGACCCAGGGAAAAGCGCAAGTTCCCCATCTGCACCTGTGTAGGGAGCACCTGTGAGAGGATTCAGCCCGTGTCCAACACCCAGCCCTCCCCAGGACCAGCCCCCTGACCGTGAACTCAGGCAAAGTGTCAGGTGCCTCCCGGAGGGCAGGATGCCACGGCAAGGGCTGCTCCATGGGGGGCTCACAGTACAGGTGGTAACGGGTTAGCGTCTTCACCACGCAGGGGCCATCTCCTATCATGGCCACTACCTCCTCTTTGGATATTGCAAGGTCCAGATTCTCCCCCTGGAATATAGAGCCATAGGTCTGTTATTCAAAACTTTTCCCAAGGAGCTGGTGCCCACTGAAACCCTAACCCCGAGCATGGGAAGGCTGATCCTGAGACCCATCCTCAGGAGCAGGGCCGGCAGGGCTGACAGTCCCTTGGTACTGCTTCCCCTGAGCTGGGACCAGCGGTCCCAGAGATGAACATAGGCTGCTCCACATGATCCTGCTCTGGCCCTCCCTATCTTCCTTCTCCAGAGCTAAAAATCTATAGAACCTGCCACAAGTTCAAGGCTAGCCTGGGCAACTTAGTAAAACCCTGTCTCAAACTTTTAAAAAGGCCTGGGGATATAGCTCAGTGCTCCCTAGATTCAATCTTCAGCATCAAGAGTGGGGAAGGGACTAGAGAACCAAATCTTGATTACCAAACAAAATTAAAACCCTTGCTGACTCAGATGGCCCTCAGGCAGCCAGCAAACTGTCTGCCCACAGCCTGTCCCAGTGCCCACCTCTATGTCACATATGCCAGGACTTATACCTCATGTCAGGCCACCGCATGGGGATCGGCCCATTACCTGCTGTGTACCACACCGCCTACAACTCTGTGTGCAAACCACTTACTGTTGTGCAGAAACCTGTTGGGAGTGTCAGGACCCAGGCCACTACACAAAGCCCTCCCAGGACTCCCACCACCAACAGCCCCCAGCCCCTGCTCTAATCATCCTCCACCTCATGTGCAGTGCTGTGCCGCCAAAGGAGAGCCTTGAGGCCCCACTGTGCTGAAAGGGAGCAGTACCTCCACAGAGAACACACTCCCGGGCTTGTGCCGGAATGGTGCAGTGGGGTCCTCAGGGTTGAGGGGCTTCAGGGTGGGATCAGCCTCATAGGAGAAGGGAGTGGGACTCAGTGTTGCAAAGTCAAAGACCAAATTGTCGAGGATAAATTCCATCCGGACCAAGGGGTCCTCGGGCAGGCCAGGGAGGGCAGGTGTGCGACACAGGATGAGCTGGGAGGAGTTCACAGTGCAAGGCTCCTCAAACTGGTGGAGGAAGACAGAAGGGTGAAGTGAGGGGCTGCATGGAAGGGGGCCTGCACAAAGCTGTGAGCAGCCACTGCAGCCGCTGGGGGTGGGGGAGGGGGGAGAGGGGAGAGGGGGGAAGGGAGAGGGGAGAGGGAGGGCCGGCTATGCAGATA